CAGGCCAAGGATGCTGGCAAGGAGAATCTTCTCCTTAGCCATGCCAGCAGGCTCTGCCATCCTCCTCCTGCTCTCCCGCTGCCTGCCCACCTTGGCACCGGGATGCCTGGCAGGGAATTGGGCTGGCACCTCGGGCAGTGGCAGGCATGTGGCTCTGTGGGAGTACCCACCAACACAGACGGTGACTGTCCCCTCTGTCTGCTGGAGCCTGACCCCTCACAGATGCCAGCCTGGCACAGCACAGTGTCTGGCAGCTGGGGACAGCTCCAGGAGCCAACATGGAACGGCATGGCATGGGGAGACTGAGCATGGTGGGCAGGGCAGGGATCAGGGGAGGATCATTACTCCTTGAGTTAACTAATGGCAGCAGATCGAAGCAGACAGGGAAAAAGGTAATTCTGCCTGTTACCCAGAAAGTGGCTGTGAGAGGCCATTTCCTCCCTTCCTGGCACCCTGAGTGGCCGGCTGCATTTATATGGAGCAGCCTGGCCCCACTGTGAGCTTGGATCCCGACTCAGTGTCCCCATAGCCAGGCAGAAGGAAGGGGACAGCAGTGCACCAAATATCCCCAGCACAGAGCAAACCCCCCTGGCACACGTGTGTCTGTGATTCTGTATGTGTCTGAGTGTGCACACGTGTGTCTGTGATTCTGTACATGTCTGAGTGTGCACACGTGTGTCTGTTGCAGAGATGGGGGCTCCTGGCATGCTGAGGATGCCAGGATCTGTGCTGTCGGTGCTTCTGGAAGGACGCTCCTGAGTTGTCGTGTGCTTGGTCTGTGCTCTGTGGAAATGGGGGGACTGTGGAGTCAGCCCTGAGATCACTTCCCCTTGTGTCAGGATTTTGCTCCAGTGCTTTCCCATCCCTCCCAGCTGGCTGCTGTGGCCATGGCTGCCCAATGCCCACACCCCTCCACTGGACAGGGAGAGGTCCATTGCCATCCAGTCATAGCCAATCCCAGGGCCTCTCACATAGCTGTGTCCTGTGAGCAGGGAGAGCAGATCCCCCACTGCACACCCAGCATGGGGTGGCCATCCCCCGGGCGTTCCCTCCCCACAGCTGCAGGCAGCAGCCTCCCGGGTGGTCCTGGCTGTCAGGCACAGCGTGGGCTGCCGAGGCCACCTGCAAGGCACTGCCTGTGTGGGACCAGCTCCCTTCCAGCTGCACTGGGACCCCAGCCAAGGGGAGGGGGGAATGGACAGCACCCTCCCTGACAGCCATAGGGTGCTGCCAGCCGCAGGAAACCTTCACCTGGATGCCTGGCCCCTGTTAATTACAGGAGGGTCAGCTGGCACTGCCCACAGCACCCACGCAGGCTGGCACGGCTGACAGCAGAGGTAATGGATGCCATCTCCTCTCCACCAATCTCATCCCTTGCTGTGGTTCTCAGACCCACCGGAAAGACGCCGGCTGGCAGGATGCTCCATCCCCGCTCAATCTCCACGGCTCCAGCACCCGCCGCAGGGTTGTGTAGCTATGTCTTTAAGAAGGGCCTGGGCTGGGGTGGGAGAAGCGTTTCCATCCAGCCTTTCTCCAGAAACCTGGTTCGATTTAGTGCGAGCAAGCGACTGCCAGAGCTGGCGCTGTGGCTGCCTCCCGCTCCCGGCCAGGGCAGCCGCCAGTCCATCCCGGCCATGGGGGCTCGGGGCATCCCCTGAGCTGTGGGGCAGCTGCCGTACCCCGGGCCTGGGGCCCGGTGGGGAGAGGAAGAGGAGGAGGCAGAGTTGGGTAAGTAAGAGTTTTGTCCTTTCCTGCCTGTGGGACTCCCTGCCCCGCCCCGGGAGGGCCTGGCAGCACCGCAGGACAAGGGCAGGGAGTCGTCGGTGCACGGCATGGTGGCTGTCACTGCAGGTGGGTGCAGGCAGCAGCAGCCCCGGGGCTGGCACAGCCGCCTGCTCGGCTCCTCGCTCCTGCCTGTGCGCACCAAGGGATGGGGACGGTGGGATGGGGCCAGCTGGGCACCCAGTGCCCATCACGGGAGGGCTCGCAGGCAGGACACATCGATGATGGCGGCAGGCAGAGCCCCGGGAGGGTGCGGTGCCCTCTGCTCCCTGGCAGTGCCCGTGCCCAGCCCAAGGACTGCATGTGTCCCTCCTCTTCCTCCTCACCCACTCGGGCTGGCATAGGAAGCCTCCCCAGAGACCCCGCCCGGAGGAAGGTGCACGGCGTGCTCCTGCAGAGGGGCTGGGGGATCCAGTGGCAGTGCGGGGGAGGTGCCAATGCCACCCCTGGCACCCCACGTCTCCCGTAAGAGGCTCACAAATGACAGGTACTAGTGATAGTACCACGGCACGTGGTGGCAGCCTGGCTGCGTGCTGCTCTCTGGCACAGCTGTTTAGGGGGGCATTCAGAGGAAGCTCTGGGCGTGTGGGTGCACTTGTGGGGTGATCGGGGCTGGGGCACCCCTGTTCCCTCTGCCTGACCCCACACACCGCTTCATGCCGAGCTCTCGCTCCAGGGGTGCAGCAGAGCCAGGTGAGTGCATCCTGCAGCCCTGGCACACAGGGAGCAGGGAGGGCAGCCCTGACAGTGCCAGTCCTGGGCAGGACGGTCAGGCCCCCAGCGCAGTTACCAGGACACAGAGCAACCAGTTATGTTTGGTGCACGGAAGGAATCCTAGGAATGCAGAGCCTGGAGGGGACTCGAGGTGGCACGAAGGTGTCACGGCAGTTCCAGCCCTGCACTGGATTCCCTGCCGGCCCCGGGGGGCAGCTTGGGGGTCACCTTCAGCAACATAAGGTGTTGTGGGGCTCGGTGTCCCAGCTCTGCCCTCCAGCTTGGCGGGAACCCTGCCGGTGGCTCTGCTGGAACGTGGCACCTTTCAGGGTCCAGTACAGCCCTGGGAGCGACTAGCCATGGTGCCGGCGCGGGGCTGGGAGCCCTGGCCCTGCTCCTCGGCTCTGGCCCGGCCCCAAGCCGTTGTTCTCCAATGAGCTCATCTGCCTCGCTGACTGTGAGCTTTAATATGGCCTCTTGGCCCGAAAATAACCAGCTCGGCCACTTAGCAAATGTTTATGGCTTCTTCATAGCTGGGTTCTCTGCCAGGAGAGGGTAGAGGGTCTGCTCCGGGAGCACAGAGCGGAGCCGCACGGGGCTCGGGCCGGACGGAGCCATGGCGCCGGCACAGCCACCTGCACCCTCCCTGCCCTTGGCCCGGCACGGTGAGCCCGGTGTTCTGGATGAGCCACCCGGATCTGTCTGGGCTCCCGGGAGCCGTGTGGGCCAGGACAGTGCAGGCAGCCGTGGGTGCCCACGGGGCTCGAGGAGGATGCAGGGTCTGGGGCTGCCCCGCACAAGGTGACAAGTGGCTCGGAGTGATGGGCACCTGGTGTGGCTCTCCAGGGCAGGGAGCAGAACAATGGCCGCGCTGCCGGATCGCAGCACCATGAGTCACAGTGTGGCTGTTTGTGCAGGGGCCACTGCCCCCCTGCCTGACACCGTGTGCTGGGCTGGGCTGGAACTTGGGGAAGTGGCAGAAAGTATTTTCTTGTTGGAATTTCTGTGAACCACCCCCAACTCGTCCCAGTCCTTCACCTCCCTGGGGAGTGCAGAGGCTGGGTGAGATACCTACAGCCCCATGCCCGGGTCCCTGAGGGCTGAGGCACTGCCACAGCCCAGCAAGGGCAGAGGGGTGCCACTGCGGGACCCCCGCACCGCTGCGGCTGTCACACCCACCTGCTCCCACATCCGTCACACAAACTGCTCCTTGCACCAAGTACTGATCCAATTTGTGGCTGTTTCCATAACAACCTCCCAGCGCTTTCTGGTCCTTTCTGTTGCTATATGGATGCCAAGATCCAATGTGTCGGGGATGCTCGGTCCTGGGACACAGCGACTGGGCTGAGCCATCCCAATGCCTCTTGGCTCCCAGGGGTGAAGCACTCTGCACGTGGGTGTCTTGGCACGCTGGAGAGGTTTCCCCACTCCAGAAGGGCTTTTCTCCCCATGAGAGGGATATGGTGAGGTTTGAGCCAGGGGAAGAAACCCAAGGGCAGTACCTGATCCAAGACTCCTGGGGGGTCCCTGCATGCAGTTGAGCTTTGTGCAGTCATGGCACTGCCCGGGACTCTCAATACTAGGAATGGGGACCTTGGAGGCACTGGCAGACAGAGACGATCCTGTTTGTCCTACCTGAGATGACATCACCCCCAGACCTGGCCTTGGCAATGTCTTGCAGCTCTCACACACATTTCCTGACCGAACCCAGTCCCAAAGCTCTTCCCAACACCTCCTGTTTCCCTCTGTGCATGACTCCAGCTGCTCTCTTGGAGCTGACCTCTGCCTCCTGTCAGATGTCCCCGACCCCTTGCTGCCATCTATCCCCTGATCAGCCACCCACCCCACAGGGCCAGCACTGGGGTCCCTACCCAGCCCCAACACCCCTGGTGTGCCCAGCCCCAGGACCTCACACGCAGCTCCATTGCCTCAGGGATGCCCAGCCCCACCACCTGGACTTCCTCCACTCATCCCTAATCCCCAGGGGTTACCCAGCCCGAGGGCCCCCAGCCCAATCCTATCGCCCTGGGGGCCGTCCAGCCCTGGTATCCCCACACTGGTGGTCTCAGGGTGCCCGGCTCCGGCACCGCCCCACAATCACCCTGATACCCCATAATCCCTGTCTCCTCGGGGGATGTCCAGCCCCGTTACCGCTATCCCCATCACTCCAGTACTCCCCAGCCCCAATCCCCCCACCCCATCCCCATCACCCCGGTATTCTCGAGTCCCGCGCCGCCCCCGCCCGGCCCCCGCAGCCGCCGCCATTGGGCGCCCGTTCGTCTCCGAGGGGGCGGCGGGGCGGGGGCCGGTGCCGGTGCCGCCCGGCGCGGCTCGGCTCTGCTCGCCTGGGCTCGGAGCGGCGCGGAGCGGAGCGATGCGGCCCGGCCCGGCCCGGCCCGGCCCCGCGGCTCCTCCCCGCGCGGCGCGGCGGGCCCGCCGGGGGGCGGCCGGGGGGCGGCCCGGGGGCGGCGGCGCGCGGAGCCCGGGCTGGGCGGCGGCGGAGGATGGGCAACGCGCAGCGGAAGGGGCCGCGCAGCCAGCGGCGGGGCAGGATGCGCTCGGCAACAGGTACCGGCGCGGGCGGGGCGGGACCGAACCCGCGCCCCCGCCGCCCCCGGGAGCACCGCCACCCCCGCGACCCCCGGCTGCGGCGGCGGGCAGGGGCGGCTCGGGCTCGCTCGGGCTGCGGCTCGGCACTCCTCGCTCCCCGGTCCCGGTGGGTCGCTTGGAGGACACGGGAGAGGTCACCCCGGCCGAGGCTTGGCCTCCTGACGGGGACGGCACAGGACGGGGCTGGCGGTGGGGCCACCGCGGTCCCCCAGCGTGTGGGACAGGTGCTGGCTGTCCGAGCTGCGGGGATCCAGCCCCGGGTTACAGGGAGCCAGCCCCATACAGTGGGGATCCAACCCTGGGCACGGGGATCCAGCCCCAAGGTGTGGGGAGCCAGCCTCGGCAGTGGGGATCCAGCCCTGGGCAGTGGGGATCCAGCCCTGGGCACGGGGATCCAGTCCCAAGCTGTGGGAAGCCAGTCCTGGGCCTGGGGCTGCAGTCCCGGCAGTGGGGAGCCAGCCCTGGGGACAGGGATGCAGCCCCAAGGTATGGGTTGCTGTCCCCTGAGCTGGGCCCCCCCCAGGCAGGGAGCCCAGTGCCTGTGCAGCTCCAACAGCCCAGCTCCCTTCTCCCACACATCGCAGTGGTGGTGGGTGTCTGAGGGCTCCTGTTCCACAAACAATCTCGGGGAGGCGGACAACCCTGCAGCTCTGCAGGGAGCTTTTTGAGGAGGAGCAGAGGGAGCAGAGGACTCACTTGGAGCTGGGAGCGGGCAGTGAGGGCAGTGCACTCTGAGGAAGCAGGGTCAGAGAAGCAGGACCTGTCTGGTCACTCCTTTGTCCCCATGTAGCTGGTCCAGGCAGTTCAGCAACCCTCCCCAGTACTCCAGCTCTTCTTCCAGGCCAGCTCCTGGGAATGCCAGAAGAGCCGGGAGCTGGGGTCTGCCACAGCTCCTGTCGCCAGGCCCATCAGAGTCCTGGAGTCCCGGAGTGCAGCATGCTGGGCTCTGCCGGCCCCAACTCCTGCTGCCCTTTCCCTGCCTGCTGGTTGGGAGTGGGACACAGCAGTGTGGGCAGCAGCAGGGAACTGACAGCCCTGGGAGAGACCTCGGGGAGATTGCTTAGAAACTGTAGGAGAATGGGGACTGCTTGTCACAGCCCAAATGACTGTCACAGCTTAATAATCAGTGGGCAGAGAGGGCGGCAGCACAACCTGACGCTGTCTAATTTTGCAACCGCTGCTGTAGCGGTGGGTGCAAAGCACTGAAATGGGGCACAAGAACTTGGGGCTGCACAGGAGGCGACCAGGAGAAAGGCTGAGCTGCGGGTCAGAGGGGGTGAGAGGGATGGGGCTGGTCGGTATCCATGGCATCATCCTTGGCTCCCCTCTTGGAGGCATGGGGAGCGGACAGGGATTGGACTGTGGGACTCAGAGGGATTATGGGATGCTGGCCCGTTCTCTACTGGGAGGCAGTGCCTGGACCACGGGGTGCTGGCCTGCTGGTGGTGGGGGGATGAGGGATGGCTGTGCCACCACTACCCAGCACAGTGCCCTTCTCCCATTTGCAGGCATGCAAGATGAGCAGTGCCCAGACCATCGGATGCTGCTCTGCTCCCTGCCTGCCTCTCCCACCTGGTGCCAGTCAGAGGGAGAATTAATCACATTTCTGGATTGTCAAAGGAATTCTTGGAGCTGTGGGAAGGGCCCAAGGGGGATTGTGGAGTCAGGCCCTGGCCAGAGCTGGTTCATCTCTGTCCTCAGGTCACAGTTCCCTGCCAGCCTGGAGATCTCCAGCAGATCTCCCTCAGGTGCGTGGTCTCCCTGGAGAGACCTGTATCTGGCTGCTGGGGTCAGGGAAGGGTGGGATTTGGCACTGCATGGCTCAAAACTCATCTTGGGTGTAAAGCTTGAGCAAATACTTGGACACTCATAGGGCTGCTGGGACCTCAGTGCCTGGGGCATTCCTGAGCAGTTGCACACAAGCTTCCATGCAGAGAGGTGGCAGCAGATCCAGGCTGGAGCTTATCTGCTAAGGGGAGGGAGCTGAGGCTCCATAAGGAGCAGCCCTGTGGTGGGTGTGGGTTGCTGCTGCTGTGAGATATTCCTGAATGAAGCCTGTGCTTGTGGCAGCATTCTTGGCTCTCCTGCAGCCCTGGCTTCCAGGAGCCTCCATCCTCTGGGAGAAGCCAGCTCAGCTTTACAAAGCCCTGGGGCACTGGGAAAGTGGTCCCCAAGGAGCCTTTGCTCTAGGCTTTGGAAGGAGCTGAAGTGAGATGAAGCTCTGGGAGCTCTGGCAGCTCCCAGGTCAGAGCCAGGGGATTCAGAAGGGCCCCTGGTTTTGTTAGCTGTAAGGACTGGAGGAGCTGGCGGGCAGCGGTTCAGCTGGGCCAGGCACAGCCACAGGCTCCAGATGCTGCTTTCCTCACAAGGAGTCTTGTGGTTGCTCCATGTAGGAACAGCCATGCTCTGCTGAGAGGACAGGGCCCCACGTGCTATGTCCCCCCAGGTCACCCACTGCTCTCAGACAGTGCTCCAGCCACAGCCAGGGGATATTTTGGTTCCATGACCCTGTCCAGCTCGGAGAGTCCTTCCTGTCCTGGCTATAGCATCCCTCTCCAGGTGCTGCAGCAGGGATGTACATAGAGGGATGTGCATTCCTGGGTGGCCCGCTGTGAGGGTGTGGATGTGGGATGGGCTGTGCAGAGTCACGGTCCCTCCACCATCCTTCCCTGGGGAAGGAAGAGGGGCCGGGGCCAGGACAATGGGCTGTGGCGCTGACTCAAACAGTCAGTTCCTGGTCGCTTCCTCTCCCCGCTGGAGCTGGAGGCAGCGAGGACGGGGGGAAGCTCAGTGCTCTCGGCTTGGTTTGAGGCAGGAGCTCCTGGGTGGCCAGAGCGAGCGGGCTCCCCCAGCACTCACAGCCATGGCCAAGGTGGAGTGGCTCCTGGCACCCTGGCAGCGGGCAGGTAAGGCAGGCAGCAGGGCAGGGCTGAGGCGGGCAGTGGGGGTGGTGGGATCTGCAGGCACTGCTCACTCTGCAGGGGAGGACCCCGGCCTGGGGGCAGCTCTTGGACACAGACCCTCTGGAGGCCATGCAATAGCCCCTGGGGTCAGGGCTGTCCAGCAGTACCAGTCTTTGTGCCACCTTCCCCAGACTGACTTGAGCTGCAGAGTGTCCCTGTCCCTTTTAAATCCTTCTGCCATACCCCAGCCTTTCTCTGGGGGTGTCTTTTCTCTGACAAAGCAAGAGAAAGACTGAGACTCCCAGCCCACGTGTCCCACTGACCACTCATCAGTCCTGTGGGGACAGGTCCTGCCTGTCCTGGTGGTTCTGTGCCCTCCTGGCAGCTTCCACGTGCTGCTGACAGCAGAAGGGAGGACCATGGGACCATGGATCCATGGACCATGGGTCGACACAAACATCACAGACACCCAGGACCCTCGCTGTTGTCACTGCTCTCAGTCCTGCTGTAGCTGATTTCAGGTCTCAGGCCCCTTTGTCCCAGGACCTCTGGCCACATTCCCCTCTCAGGCGACTTCCTTACATTGTCCCAGCCCCGCGGAGTGTAAAACCAGCTGGGCACAGGGGAAGCCATGCTTTCCTGGAAGCAGCCTCTGGAAGCAGCCTCCGGCACAGGCAGCCCACACTGGGCAGAGTGGTGAGCAGTGCCTGGGCTTCCATGTGCCACCAAACAGTCCCAGCCAGGCTGGGACATCACTGTGGGAAGGCTGGTGGGCAACCAGCCATGGTTCCTTTGGCCATGATGCAGTGATGTTGGGCTGCCAGAACTGGCTGGGTCTGACAGGTTGCCATGCCAGGCTTCCTGAGGCTCTCAGGAAAGATTTGTGGCTGGAGTTTTGCTGGGAAGCATGGGAGAGTGAGGGTTGCAGTATGAGGAGGCTGCCAGGCTCCCAGGGAGCCACAGCAGGACTGGGAGAGGCCTCTGGGTCCTACTGCCAATGGTAGAGAGTTTGGTGCAGGAATCTGGGTCCAGCCAGACTCTGGGGCTCCAGTGCCTGTCCCAATGCAGCTGCTCTGGCCCTGGGAGCAGTGGATCTCAGCCCCTTGTCAGGGAGCAGCCTGAGTCCACCTTGGCTGGCATGGTCCCGGGCCAAGCCCTGCTGCCAGAACAGCTGCGGGCAGTTCCCATCCCCACAGCATGGGCGAATGGCACAGGGGGTTCCTCCTGGGCCAGGCTCTCTGGCCAAATCCTGCAGTACACACACCTCCCCTCCTGCCAAAACTCCCTGACCAGGGCCCATTGCACTGCTGGGACTGAATGTCCTTGCACACTGCAGCTCTGAGTCCCACCAATGGACAGGGATGTTATTGACTGGTTTGCTGCTAGTGGTTTTCATAGAAACCTCACATAATCCAGTCTTCTCCCCATGAGCTGAGGGACCCCCACAGCTGTCAAATCTGCCCTGCCACCAGCAACTTCTGCAGTCCCCTTATCTCCCATCAGTACAAAAATAACTGATTCCTTGTTAGACAAGGAGCTTGGAGGAGCCAAAAACCTCAGGCAGATCCGGTGTGTCGAGACAGTGCTGTTTCTCAGTGCCTCTGGTCCTGCTGGGCACCTGCGTGGGAGCATGGGGACGTGCTGTACAGAGAGTCCTGGCATGGCCAAGCTGGGGTCTGGCCAAGGCACCCCTGAAAGGCTTCCTGCCCCTCTGGCCTCAATCACCAGCAAGTCAGACACCTGTGCAGGTGGCCCTGCCTTGCTGGGGGATTGAAGCTGTGCCACCAGACATGTGGCAGTTGGAAGTGTCCTGGAGAGGATCAAATTTGGAGAGGGCATAGTCTCTTGGCTTCCCCAGTGAGGGCTCATCCCAGGCACAGCATGTGCAAGTGGCAGACGGGGCAGGTCTGCTCAGTGAGCACCGCTGCCTTGTGGCACTGGGCCTGGGGATGTCAGCAGGGGATCGCTTCAGGATTTCTTTCAGACCTGGGTGGGCATCCGGCCCTGGGGCTGCCGTGCAGGCAGACGCGCCTCCCCATCCCGCAGGGAGCTGGTCCGGCAGGTCCGGTTTGGCAGGGGGTGAGCTTGGGACAGGAGGTGTTTCTGCAGCCGCTGCCAGCTCCCTCTGTGTGCTCTTCTCACTTCCTCTCTGCTCACCGTGGAGCAGCGTGCGCCTGGCTCATACCACGGGAATGTCCCCAAGCCGCACGCGCCGGCAACGAGCAGCCCAGGATCGAGGGCAGGCCGGGCACTCGCTTGAAGCTGGTGGCACACGGTCCCAGCACTGCGGCACACGGCTCCGGCCGGGGGCTCGGGGTGCTCTCAGGATCGGTCTCGGCCCCCAGGTTCACTGCCCTCGCCCTCCGGCGTGCTCGGTGCTCTGGACCCGCGGCGGCAGCTGCCGCTGTGCCTGTACCCGTTGCCATGGCTGCTCTGCTGATGGCGCATCGCCTGCTGCTGCCGTTACATCATTCCTGACAGTGCTCCACGCTGGCAGAGGGTCCAAGCGGCTCCAGACGTGCCCCCGGCACCTCCTGCACGTGGGGAGCGAGCCTGAGAGGCAGAAGTTTGGCAGTGAATTCAAGCGAGAGGCATCGTTTCACAGGAGCTTCAGCCTGGATTGAAACAGCTCTGATGGCTCTGTCAAATATCTCCTTGTGGATTCGGGATGCCTGGGCTGTGGGTGAGTAGGGATGCTGGCATGGAGCAGGGGTGACTCAGGAGATACTGAGGGGCTGGGGATCCTGCAGGGATGCCGTTCCTGCAGGAGAGAGCAGAGCCCAGCTCCCCTTCAAGCGAACTGCCCTGGAATTCAGCTTCAGTCCTTGTGTAGCTGCCATGGCCACAACACCCTGAGCCTGGACACTGGCTCACGCTCAGCAGGACTCTGAGGCTGCAGCATCTGCTGCAGCTGATGTTGCTGACTTTGGGAACATTCCAGGCAGATGTCCATTGGCAGCAGGGTAGGGGATTCTGCCTGCTCCTCTCTGCATGCCCTAGGGCCAGGAGGGCACCTGGTGCCAGCAGGGAGTATGGTGAACCCCCCACCAGATATGCCTCAGTTTCCCTGAGCAGCAAGGCTGGCCAGGCTCAGGTCTAGGCTGCTGGGGTTGGTGGGATGGAGCTGTCCTTCTGGCTCTGCTGTCCCAGGATGCCTTCATCTCCTGCAGGCATTTGCCACAGGGTGGGAGCCCCTCAGAGGTATTTTGTGCTCTGAGCCTGTTGCTGATAAGCGTGGTAGGAGGGTCACTGCCAAGGGCATTGGCTCAGCTCAGCTCCACTATCCCAGCCAGTCGCCATCTCCTCTTGCCGGACACTCCCGCTTGGCTCAGCCATCCCGTGCCCACATATGGGTGTGGCAGCTGGGCTTCCTTGGACACTTAGAACCTGCCCTTGTACTGAGCCTGCATCAGGCTGCTCCCAAATACTGCCTGTCCCTCGGGAGCACTGTGGCAGTGAATCAGGACTGCTGGCTCCTTACATCCCATCGCCGAGCTGCCGTGTGGTGCTGGGCTTGGCGTGCTACTCCCAAAACACCCTCAGAGCCACTGCTCACGAAGCACCCTCGGAGTGGCTGCTCCCAGGGAGCCAAAGCCTCAGGGTGCTGCTCACTCTGGCACAGTGCTGTCCTTGCAGTGCACGTTTGGGCCACCTGGGTGCCAGGAGAGTGCTCAGCTCATCGGTTCTTGCCCCCACCCCTTCTCCCCTGCTGGGGAGATGGAGCCCACGATGCCTATGCCTTGGTGATGCCAGGCATAGGCATCGTGGCAATGCCAGCAGCCCAGCAGTGCCTGCACCACAGCCCACACCGGCTCAGGACTGCACTGTGTCACTCACAGTCCCAAATAAGCATGTGTCAGCAAAGAGGGGAGGGCTCCACAGGGGAGGACCTCCGGCACTGCGTGTTCCCCTTCTGGCCGAAGCTGCCCCTAGGCGGGGCAGGGTGCTGGGCGTGGGTACTGCCACGTTTCCGCCGCGCCCAGGGCGGCCCCGGCTTTGGTGCTGTGGTTTCCCCACGTGGTCGGCGCCCGAGGTGGGTGGCAGGGGTGACTCGGCAGCAGGGCCGAGGAGCAGAGGTGAGCTCTCGTATTCCGGGCATGGCATCAGGGGCTTGGAGAGCTGCAGGGGCAGCAGGGGCTGCTCAGGATGTCCCTGAGCCTTTGGTGGGGGGTGGCTGCAGGGGGATATAGCGGCAGAAGATGAGGAGCATCACCTGTGCTGAGGCCAAAGGCTGGGGCTGCGTGACCCAGGCAGGGGGTGCAGCAAGCCAGGATTTGGGGTGCACCATTGGGCTGTTCTCAGAAATGACAGGACAGCACTGGATCCCCCACCTCGCCAAAACCAGCAGGTTGTGGGGTCTGGAGTCTGCAGAGGGGAAGGTGTGGTCTCTGCCCCTGGCACTGGGGGTCAGGTTTTTGGGGAGATGTCCAACCTTACCCTGTGCATGGCACATACATGCACACATGTGCCCCAACACCTCTTGGTTGGTATGGAAACAAGTCAAATTATTTAGAGGAGGAGGAATGGGAAAAAAAAAAGGAAAAAAAAACAGTGTTCCCAGTGTTAAGGCCTGTCGTTATGGAAACAAATCATAAAAGTAACTAGGGTGGGGACATGGCACCTTGCTTTGGGTGCTGGGCGTTGTGCAGGCTCCATCAGCTGGGGGAAGGGTGGGCATGAGGGCACCCAGGGGTACAGGTGTTGTAGGCAGGAGGGCATCTGGGGGCAGGAAGGCACCATGAGCAGCAGGGAGGATGCTTATGATTAAGTGCAGATGAGCTGGACCACAGCTGCCTGACCAATGGGGGCCGAGGGAAATGTGGCTTGTGCTAGGGGTCCCACGCATGTTTTGGGGCCATTCCCCTTCCCAGGTACGTGGGATTGCTTCTGCTGCCTCAGCTGGGGCCTGGCACGGAGCAGGCTTTGGCAGCAGGGCAGTGGTGTGCTCCTGGGGCCGGGCACTGCGCTGCAGGTGGTACAGGGGAAGTGTTTGTCACACACTGGTAGTTGGAGCGTCTCAGCTGATGGGGATGGGGACAAGACCATGCAGTGGAGGATGAGCCCTAAATCTCCAGGGTTGAGACCCTGGTCATCCATATCCCTGTGTAAAGCTCACAGAGACCCAGTCTGTGCCTGACAGGGTGTGGGTCCCCTTGGAGGCAGTATGCCAGTGGTGGCACTCCCTTGAATCCATGCTTGGTACAAACCCACATCCACTCAGAGCAGCGCAGCCAGGGCTGCAGTGTTCCCATGGCAAAGCATGTTCATGGGAGCAGCGCTCAGCTCCCCACAGAGCCAGTTCACTGCTGAGGCCAGATCCTGCTCCCAGGGACTTTTCCACCCATCAGGGTGTTTCAGAGGGTCTGAGCAATCCTCACAGAGGTTTCCTTCCCTGGAGAGCTTTGGGGGTGTCCATGCCAGGGAAGGGCATGTGGGCCCCAAGCTGCAGTGCAATGGACGTGGTGGGTCCCTGGCTTCTGCCTTTCAGTTGCAACTTCTGCTCCTCCACAGCCAGGATGTTGCTCCACCAGAGCGTGCAGCGTTTCCTGCGCCCGGGCGCGGTTAGGCACGGGCGGCAGGGCTGGCTTCCTTCCCCAATTTCAGCCAGCTCCCTTCTTGGCAGCCCTCAGGGACAGCGTCCAGTCCCCAAAGTGGTGGCAGCAATGAGGGCTGCCAGCAGCCTGCCAGAGTGGGATGCAGCCACATCCCAGCATTCCTGGAAAGCTGGGGTGGGATGAGCATTGTGCTGGCACCGTACTATCCCACGGCAGCACCCACAGGAAAGCAACCCCCCACCTGCCTCTGATCCCACTCTCCTCTGCCTGCAGCCACCTCTAACCTGGACCTCGAGAGCAAGAAAGCCGCCCCTGCCAAGCTGCCATGGCAGCAGCCTGTGAACGTCTTCCTGGCAGCTGGGCGCCCACCGGGCATGGAGCAGCTGCACCAGGAGGCCCAGCTCAACCTCCAGAGCTTGCTGCAAGGTAGCAAGGAGAGGGGCTGGAGTAATGGGCTGGGTGAAGGTGGTGGGTGGGTGCTCCCCAGGCTAGGTGACCACCATGAGGCTGAGCTCATCTCCCACATGCATGTCCGAGCCATTCCTTGGACCTCACCAAGCTGCAGGAGTTGGGTCCTGGGGGTCCCAGCCTCCAGTAGTCCCTCACCGATCTCTGCTCCCAAGTCACGGCTGCAGGTGCCAAAGCAACTGGGACCACGTTTGCCTGCTGGGGCCACTGATGCCAGTGGGGCCTCCAGGGCACCCACGAGCCCCTACACGGCACAGTTCTCACAAGGGCCTAAGGGACCTGCCACTGATCTGCCTAACTTGATCAACGTGGCCAGTGGTTTTGTTTCCTTCCAGTCTCTGGCCCAGGCTGTCACGCGGCCCTGGCTCAGATGCTCCTCAGGCATCAGATGAGATCAGCAGCCCAGCCATCCCCCAGCTTGTAATCTCATTAAGTCAGCCTGAGCAGACCTGCTTTCTGCCAGTCCATAGCCACCAGCATTAATTAGCTCAACAATTACAGGATGGGGACGCACTGAGTTCTGGCTGTCCCCCGTGGGACTGTGTCCCAGTGGCACCCACCGCATCACTTGACTGCACCCCGGGAGGAGTGAGGCAAGCTGCTGGCATCTTTGGACTTCTTCAGTTCTCCTCCTTGGGGTCTCCATTCCTCACCTTCTGAGCTGCCTGTCCTGAGCAGGGACGGCCAGCTAGGCTGGGGACAGCCAGAGGGGACAGTCACCATCCCTTCACATGCCCCCTGCTCCAGGATCTGGCAGCAGGAGCAGGGTCCCAGGTGCTGTTTTTCTTGCAGAGGAGTATGAGGAGCAGTACACTGAGAGCAGGGTCACTGGGCAGACCTTCCGCGCTGCTGGTCACCTGCCCCCCGACACCTCCCCTGAACCATCACCTCGACCCCCACCTGCCAAGCGCCTTGAGTTTGTGCTTATGGTGAGTTCTGAGGTGGCAGGGCGGGCAGCAAGTCCCTGTTTGTGTTCCACCCTTGTCCCTTTAGTGGCTGATGTGCCTTTCTCCCCATAGCCCCCGAGCCAACGAGCGGCCGAAGAGGAGACCACCAGCAGCACTGTGCTCAGTGCTCGGCCTCCTGACACCTCCCTGAGCCTCCCCACCAGCCCAGACAAGGAGCACCCCTGGCCCAGGGCCTTCCCCTTGTCCCCTGAGGAGGAGAAGCAGTGGCACCAGCCCAGCTCCATCCAGACCAACATTGTTCCCATCAATGTCTCCGGTAGGGCAGCACCCCATGGTAAGGTGGGGGGACATGGGGTGCAGGCAGAGATGTGCCCCAGCAGCCATCTGGGGCAGGGCACGGGTGGTGGGAGGCGGCTGTGGCTGCATGGTTAGGTGGGCACCAGGGCAGAGAGGGGACAGCAGGGCCATGCTGGCATACATCGCTCCCAGCCATCTCTCGTGCCATCTGCAACTTTGTGTGTCTGGTCCACTGGCCATGCTGCTGGCAGGTCTCACATCCCTGATGTAATGTCCAGCCAGTCAGGTCTGTTGTCACCTGGACTCTCACCACACACTGTGCACCTTGCCTGTCTCACCTGTCTCCCCTGTCTGTCCATCTGCTCATCCTCTCAGGGCCACAGCTCCCAGCAGCACAGTCCTGCCCAGTCCTTGCAGAAACAGGTGCCATGCTCTGGCCCAGGTCAGAGTCAGGGGCTGGTGACTGGGTGAGGTGCCCCTTCTGAAGGGCAAAGGTGTCTCTCTGCACTTTCCCTCCATCATGGAGAGCTGTGCCAGGGCCACATTGGTCCCTTTCCCTCCCCATGCCTCATGTACCCATCCCCGAGCTGGCTCAGCACAGTGGTGTGACAGCACAGACTAGTGCCTGTCACGCAGTGCAGGGCTGGTCTCTGTGGCTTTCCATCCATCCCACTTCCATCTGCAGTATTCCCACCATGCTTCCATTTCCCCCGTGCTCACCTCACATGGCTCACACCATCGTCCTGCATCCACACTCCCACCTGTGTCACCATCCCAGGCTGGGGACACACAGAGAACACGGGTGATGGAGGGGCTGAGCTCCCGGCCCAGCAGCAGCTCCGGCACCGCGGCGTACCGCTGTTTGTTTTGGCTACAGGGCAGCACTTTGCTAGGCATGCGAGTGCTCGTCACTCCCTGTTTAACACAGAGACTGCGATGAACCCAAAGTCCACCCTGCGGCGTAGACGGACCATTATTGGATTCCCTAACCTGTCCCTGCGAGACCAAGGTGACGGCAAGAACCGCGCAGGCTGCACCCGGGCAGGGCTGGCAACCCCCAGAGCTGCCCTGATGGTGGCATAGCCATCCCGAGGCTGGCAGCCAGCCCAGGCACAGACGGGCTCCCGGGTACACCCAGCCCACGGGGAGGTGCCGGCACCACACTGACTCTGCGCCCTCCCAAGGCACTGAGGTGCTGGGCTCACTAGTGACACTGGGCTGGCCTGGGGCCGGCATGGCATCAGGAACAGCCCCTTCGTCCTGAGTCAGGATTCTGAGGCAGGAGTTACCCAGCCTCGGCTCCAACAAGGAGGGCTCCCTGTGCCCATTTCCCCATGGGCAGACCCTGTCTCAGGCTGCCATGGCTGTGGGGCACACACCTGGCCAGATCTTTGCTGGGGCTGGCAAGCCATGCCACGTGAGAGTGGCTGGAGTGCTTCCAGGCTGGCATTGGACCCTTGGGAACAGCAGCCACTGTGGCTCAGGGGCTCTGTCCTGCTGTCCCCTGTGGAAGGTGTAGAGAAATCAGAGCCAGCCTTTCTCTGAAAGGAGGTAGAGACAGGGAGAGAAGCCATGGCACCAGCTGCTCCAAGGCAGTTTTCACGGGGTAGGAGGAAAGTTTCTTCCCATGACAGTGGTCAGACCACCAATAGGATGGTCACAGCTCCTCCTTGGAGTCAGTCAGACTTCAGCCCACCACAGCCTTGAGCATCCCTGTCTGCTGGGGGTGTTCAGAGTGGGGTTGCTGGCTCCTGTGATGGAGTGGCACTGTGAGCCACTATGTCCCTCTCTGTCCCAGCTGGCAATGCCTGACCTCGCTCCTCCTGAACCCCATCTGAGTCCCCACCATGGAGCAGCACCAGGGCAACACTTTGGTTGCCATGGGACTGATGTCCCCATAGGTAGAGCCTCCTGCTATGGCTGGTTATTTGCCCCTGGCACATTCCAGCATGCCATCAGATCCACATTTTATGCCTGGGCAGAGGTGCAGCCTCCAGACTGGCCACAGGCTGGGACAGCATGCAGAGGAGGGCCATGTCCCTGTGAGGGAGGCAGGATATGCTCACCAGGCTGTGTCTCTCCCCGCAGGCAGTGCCAACGGCCCCACATCCAGCACACACACGTCCATCAGTGAGTCCCTGTCCTGCAGCTTTGTGCCTGAGACCACAAGCAGGGGGACAACGCCCCAGGAGATCAGCCCTCGTCCGCCGCTCTCAGCCCCACTGAGGAAGACCTTCAGTGACCTCGGGGCCCACCGCTGCCAGCCACCTGCTGCCATGGATGGGACAGCCCACCCCTGTGCCAGTGCCTGCAATGGGACACAGGGCACCCCTTTTTCTCCACCCTGGACCCCCCTGGGTTATGGGAGCCCCACCAGCCTTACCACTGGCCCAGGCAAGGGGCCCACCTGCACCTCGCCGGGTGGCTTCATCCCATCACCCAGCCCAGGTTCACCCGCTGCCTCCACCTCCTTCTTCATCACCACAGAAGAGCGCATAGGAAGCAATGGGCCCAGCTTTTTCTCTGGCCCAGTGCCTGCTTCCCCCCCCAGCTCCAGGTGCATCCAGGGAGCCAAGGGGAATTTCTTGCCAGGAAGCCAAGAGGAGCTGGAGCCAGCAGCAGGGCCAGCGCAGCTGGAGGTGGAGCGGGCAGGGTGCCGGTTCCGTGAGCGGTCACTGTCAGTGCCCACTGACTCGGGGTCCCTCTGCTCTGTGGACATCACATATGCTGAGACCCGGCGGGGCAGCGCCAACTATGCCCTGGGCTACCCCAGCGCCAGCTCCGAAGGCAGCACCAGCACCGACAACATCTCCCTGGGGCTGGAGCCCGAGGGGCAGCGGCGGCGGCGCTCCAAGAGCATCTCCCTGAAGAAGGCCAAGAAGAAGCCTTCACCACCCATGCGCAGTGTCTCACTGATCAAAGAGGGGCAGGATGGTGATGTGGGGCTCAGTGCAGCACTGCCCAAGGACCAGCGGCCCAAGAGCCTGTGCATCCCACCAGAGCTCCAGGGTCACCGGCTGGTGCATGCCGACCCTCAGGGGAGTGCAGGCAGGGAGCCCAACAGCACAACTGCCCCCCACCAGTGGCATCTCACAGACTGGAGGGCTGGCAGTGATCCCTACCAGTCCCTCTCTGGCTCAAGCACAACTACAGGGACCACGGCTGTTGAGTGTGCCAAGACACGGGGCAGCTCTGAGTCCCTTGTGTCCCCTTCAGTCTCCAGGGCCACAACGCCCTCCCAGCTCTCTGCTGAGGCAGACCTCAAGACCTCCTCGCCAGGCAGGCCCACAGGGCTGATGTCCCCATCCAGCGGGTACTCCAGTCAGTCGGAGACCCCAACCCCCACCGTACCCACCTCCACCATCCTCGGGCACTCCCCGCACCAGGTGCGTGTGAGGCCACTGGTCCCCGAGAGGAAATCCTCTCTGCCCCCCACATCCCCCATGGAGAGGAGCCCCAAGGGCAGGCTGTCCTTCGACCTCCCACTGACTCCACCTGCCCACCTTGACCTCTCAGGGCTGAAGATCTCCCTGAAGGGGAAGACTAAGGTCAGCCGGCACCACTCTGACTCCACCTTCGGCACCAAGCTGGCCCAGAAGACCTGTCCCATCACACCCATCATGCCCGTGGTGACACAGTCCGACCTGCGCTCTGTCCGTCTCCGCTCCATCAGCCGCTCAGAGCCAGAGGACAACACTGATGGCCCAGAGCACACAGAGGAGCCAGCACACATCCCCTGCCCAGGGCTGGAGAAAAAAGTGAAGCCACCTGTGGCAGAGAAGCCACCACTGGCCAGGCGCCCCCCGTGCATCCTACCCAAGCCCCCAGTTCTGAGGGAGGAGGGTCCCGTGTCCCCCAAATCCCCACCAGGCACTACCGCCAAGGAGAAGGGGCTGGCACAGGATGCCTTTGTGGTGCTGCGGAGAGGGGAGCTGAGGAGGAGCTCAGCTCTGGGGGAGCCCCACTTGTCCCTGACCCCAGCGGGGCCCCGGCGGCTCTCCCAGGGCAGCCTGGATGAGCTGCGGCCAGAGCAGAGCCGTGCCGAGGGGGAGCGCAGGAAGGCCAAGGTACCCCCGCCAGTGCCCAAAAAGCCCAGCGTGCTGTACCTGCCACTCATCCCAGCCCCAGCACAGCTGGGAGCTGGTGTGGGGGACCTGCCACCCACCCCCAGCCCCATCATCACCCTGGACACTGACCCCACCTGCTGCGACCCTGACGCTGAGGATCCGCCATCCCCCAAGGCTGTGGGCACCATGGCTGCCAGTGAGCCTGCCTCAGAGCAAGGTGAGGGTCTCTCCACCACTGTGGTGGGATCACCCCAGGGATAACGGGTCTCCATGCTGCACAGGGGATTCACTGCTGTCTTCTCCCTGCCCACAGGCAACTCAGCAGAAGCCGGCATGGAGGAGAAGAGCTTTGCCAGCGACAAGACAGCCGAGTCCATCGTGGAGGAGGACGATGAGGTGTTCACAACATCCCGCACTACAGAGGATCTCTTCACAGTGATCCACAGGTAAGGCTGGTGCATGCACCGGAGGGGACAGCCTCTGCACCCACTGTCACAGCTCTGGGTGTAGTGTCTCTCCACCACAACAGCTCCATTTTCCATACGGGGGCCAATGTTCATCCTTGGGGACAGCCCAGTTGCTGCTACCTTGAGCAGAGTGCAACCAGCAGGGAGAGTCCAGATTAGTCCTGCCAGGAGCACCACCTCCCACGCTCATGTTATCACCTTGCCCCAGCAGAGCAGGCTGGGTACTACCATGCCCCTAGCTCTTGGACCTCACCCCAGCCCCAGACTGCTCCCACCCGTGTCCCTTTGGTGCCTAGGTCAAAGAGGAAGGTCTTGGGGCGGAAAGAGCCTGGTGACACCTTCAGCAGCCGACCCACCTCCCACTCACCTGTAAAGACTTCAAGCTCCCCAGCTGGTGAGTCTCTGGCAGCAGCAGGCAGCAGTGGGAAGTCTTCCAGCAGGAATGAGGATTTTAAAGCCCTGCTTCAGAAGAAGAGCAGCAAAACAAGCCCTGGTACTCGGCCATCTGCCGCCGAACTGCTCAAGACCACAAACCCGCTGGCCCGGAGGGTCATCACAGAGTTTGCCCCTGAGCTGGACGGTGCAAACAGCCCCAAAAGCCAGCCCTGACCACACAGGGGCTCCTCCAGCCAAGAGGAGAGAGCGCTGCAGAGAGAGCGCTGCTGCAAAGGGCTGTCCTGGCTGCTGGGGAGCCCCTGTATCCTGCTGGGGGGTTCTTCTGCTTTTGTTCCTTACCTGGAGAGCTGCTGCAGAGAGGCAGTGGCTGGAGCCCAAGCTCTCATGACTCTGGGCCCTTCCCATGGGAGAAGTTGCTGGAACTGGCCCTGGCTGAGCCAGCTCCTGGGATTGAAGGCACCTGCCCAGGAAGCAGAACAGGATCGCAGCCCCTGGTGTTGCCTGATGCCTGCAGCAAAGCAGCTTGAGACTCTTTGGTCCCTTCGGCATGTGGTACTTTAAACAGATTTTCTAATGCACAGTGGTGGTGATGTTTGATTCTCTTCCCTTTGACATTGTACCTTGAGTTTCCCATGCAGAGATCCCCTGGTTGAATTCAGCTGGACACACAGATGCACTTTGGGAAGACGCCAGGGGTTCAGCTGGATCTGTGGTTGCTTTTGAAGAGTCACAGGAGGTTCCCTGTCATTGCCCTGAACATCCTCCCTGTCACACAGGGAACTGGCACCTGGTGTCCACAGCCAGCGCCACCACCTCAAGCCAAACCCCCACCCCTTGAAAGCCCCCAAAATGCTGCATTTTGGAGCTCCTCAGCTCTCCGTCCAAAAACAAACCTTGGGGTCTTCTCCACTACCAGTCCCCCTGGCCTCACTGCACAGGGGGTCTGGCAGCCACCCCACTCCCACGCCAGGGGTCCTGCATCCAGCTGCCAACTGGGGCAATGAGGGTGCTGTGCCATGGGAAGGAAGCTCGTCCCCAGCTCAGCCTCCTGCATCTCCATAACAGACCCTGCGACAACTTCTCCTGCTGCCCTGGCCACCAGAGGTCCTGAGATACTACCAAGATAGTGGCTGGAATCCAGATGGACTTCACCTGAGCCACCTCCCTGGTGACCTCTGGGTCTGGGGTCCCCCAGGATTGCCCACCACTCACGTGTGCCCACTGGCCACCAGAGAGCTGAGCAAGGCCAAGTGGGACACGTGCCATCAGGGCATGTGCATGGGGCCATGGAAGAGGGTTTGCACGTGCCCAGGTGGGATTTGTCCCCCTCACTCCCAGCTGCCTCTTCCTGGCCAGGCTCCATCATGGGGGCCCAGCAGCCAGTAACAGAGGCTGTGGTGTGGGCTCAGGGCAGGGCAGGGAGGAAACACGAGCTCTGAGCAGGAGCACAGCCACACGCCCAGAGAAACAGGAAGGGCCAGCCACGGCTGACAAGGAAACAGAGTGTTTAGGGAAAGTTCTGCTTGATTTCTTGATGTATTTCCACACACTCCAGCCTTCCTGTGCTGCAGGAGGAGTGGTGCAGTGGGTCCAGGCAGCAGCAGGGCACCACAGCACCGCTTCAGCTGCCCCTCTGAGGGGCCTGGGCTGCTCTGGGGGGTCTCTGCCCCACCAGGAGCTCTGCATCCCTGGGGAGCACGGCCCAGGCAAACACTTCCCCATCCTTGCCACCACCCTGGATCTGATCCCACTGAGGCTCCAGTGGGTTCCCCTCCCCTCCCTCCTGGTACTCACCCATCCCTCTCTTTCCTCTCCCACGGCTGCAGATTTAAGCCTGTAATTAAGAGCCAGGCTGAGAAACTCAGGAAAAAAAAAAAATCACAAAAAAAGCTCTAATGAATGTCCACATTTCACCCCCATCCCATGGCCTCAGCTAGTGGCAGGGTGCTGGCGTGGGATGGGGCCAGGGCACAGCTTGGGAAGCTCTGGGGACAGGTACATTTTGCACATGACTGCTCAGGAAACCAGGGACAGAGTCGGTAAAGGGGGCTGGGGGCATGCACAGGCCAGGGACCCCCCTGCAACACCCCCAGCACCACTGGCGGCTGGAGTGGCCGATGCTGCTGGGGTGAAATATCCAAGTGGACCAGAGGTCAACTGTGGGACAGAGGTTGGCCATGGGATGGAGATCGGCTGTGCGATGGAGATTGGCCATGGGATGGAGATCCTAATTTCCCTGGCCGGAGGAACGTGCTCTTCCTGGGGCTCTTCCTGGCTGAGCGCTCGTCTCTGGCCGCTCTCTCCCTGCTCCTCCTGGCTGCAGCTAGCTATTCCACTGGGAAGGCAGTGGGTTCCCGGGAAGAGTCCGGCTGGCAGTGGGTCAGCCCTGCCCCGGCGTGGGGCCGCCAAGGTGCCAACTATGGAATGTTGTACTTTTTATCTCGCCAGCTTGGTAAAGTGCTCCCTGCTGCCTGCCTGTGACTGTTCTTCTTTGGGCTGCTGAGAAACCGGGGCTGGGGAGGTGGGCACCCCCTGACTGCCCTGGGAGAAGAACCGGCCCTATTAGCTGGGGCTTTTCACAGCGTTTGCCGCGCACTCCTGTGTCCCCATGGCTCTGGGGCGGGGGAGGCGCAGGGACACCGTGAGGTGTCAGGGGCGGCCCAGGCTGGGCGCTGGGGACAGGCCGGAGCGGGGCCCGGGGGTGGTGTGAGGGGCTGCGGACCGACTTGGCGTCCGGGGGGAAGGTGGGATGGATGAGAGGGACAGAGCAGCCCGGGGGGACTGCTGGGGTCAGCCCTCGTGCTGGGAGGGAGCTGGGGACAGCCCTGGACCCTGGGCACAGGCCGGGGGGAGGACTTCAAGTGGGGAGGGGTGGACCAGGAATTGGAATCCTGGGGCCGGTGGGATGGATGAGGGTACAGCCCTCAGTGTTGGGGCCAAACCTGGGCGGGCGCTGGGTACGGCCGTGGATGCCGAACGCAGCCCTGTGTGCCGGGTGGCTGCAGCCCCGTCCGGGCGGCACAACCCCGTGTCACGCAGCCCCGCGGCCCCGTGTCCCGGCACAGCGCGGGCAGCCGGGGGCCTGGGGGCGGGACAGAGGCGGCCCCGCCCGGCGTGGGGTGTGCAGCGTGGGGGCCTTACGGCGGAAAGATGGCGCCCAAAGGGAAAGGCGGCGGCAAAGCTGGGAAGGGTGAGCGGGGCTGGGCCGGCACCGGGACCTGCCGGGCGGGGGTGCTGGACCAGCACCGGGGCCGGCCGGGCGGGGGTGCTGGGCCGGCACCGGGACCAGCCGGGCGGGGGTGCTGGGACGGCACCGGGACCGGCCGGGCGGGGCTGCTGGGACGGCACCGGGACCGGCCGGGCTGGGGCCCGAGGGCGGTGGGGGCCCGGCCGGTCTCAGAGCCCGGCAGGGTCGGTGGGGACCGGGCCGGTGTCAGGGTGATCGGTTCACAGGCGGCGACAGCGGCAACAGCAGCGAGAGCAAAGCACAGGGCCCGAAGGGAGGCGGCAGTGCCGTCAAGGTGAGTGCGGGGGGCGTCGAGGATCAGGCGGGATGCGGGTTCTCTGCCCCAGCACCTGCAGGCTCGTCCCGCCCGCCGGCCCCGCTCGCCACAGCCCCGCTGCCCGCCCCTCCAGGTTCGGCACATCTTGTGCGAAAAGCACGGCCGGGCCATGGAGGCCATGGAGAAGCTGAAGTCCGGACAGCGCTTTAGCGAGGTGGCGGCACAGTACAGCGAGGACAAGGCCAGGCAAGGGGTGAGTGAGTGCTGCACCGGGACAGGGCAGTGGGGCCGGGCAGCGGCTGCGGGAGCCTGGGTCCTGCTCGTCACCAGCAGGACCTGTCCCACGGCCACATCTCACCCACCCTTCCTGCTCCGAGTCTCAGAGTTTAACCCCCAACGGTCCCTTGCTGCAGGGAGACCTGGGCTGGATGACCAGAGGCTCCATGGTGGGACCATTCCAGGAGGCAGCATTTGCCCTGCCTGTGAGCAGCATGGACAAGCCTGTGTACACGGACCCTCCCGTCAAGACCAAGTTCGGATACCACATTATCATGGTGGAAGGCAGAAAATAAAATGTGAATGACCATGATGACCTTGTTGACTGCTTGAATCCCAAGTCCCAGACACCTTGGCCTTGGAGCAAGTTGGGCACAACCAGCAACATGCCTGGAGGCAGGCTGGCTGTCCCTGCCACTGTGCTAGCAGAGCAGGGCCCTGCCTGAAGAGGTAAAGTGTCCCTGGGAAGGGCGAAACAAGAGCCTTTTATAGATGTTGATGTCTCTGTTGCCTGGCAGGCCAGCCTCTTCCTTCTCCACATTATCTGTGGAGATAATGGCCTGTCAGCGGAATGAGGTGCCCAGGTTTTTATCTGCAAACAGAAATGATGCAGAAAGGGACAGAGGGGGCCACAGGGCTTGGTCTCTATCCTCCCCAAGAGGATGCAGTCAGCTCCCATGGTGCAGTTTGTGCTCCAGAGCTGCAGGACAATCCCTTCAGTGGAGGGTGGGTAACACTGGAGCTGGGTCAGGCAGACAGGGAAGTGACCTGGCGGTCGGAGGGGAGGACAAGCTCTCCTGAGCACAGACTGATCTCTTCCTACAGCTCCACCTTGCCCACTCAGAGCTGGGGGAAGATAATTCAGGTTTAGATAAGAAAAAAAGCAACTAAACACTTGTGTGCTGCTTCTCGTGCTCCCCTGTGCTGTGGGGTGTGCAAGGGAAGCAGCCCAGCAAGATTCCTGCTATCTCAGGAATCCAGCCCAGAGCCATGATCCCCTTCCTGCCCACAGAGCCTCCGAACCAGCCACAGCTCCAGCAACAGGCACCAGCTTTGTTTACAGGTGAGCACCATGCACAGAGCTCAGAGATGAGGAGGAAATGTCAAAGAAGAAAAGGTCCTTCTCTTCCCTCCCTTTTCAGGGTGTTGGTTTTGCTGAGTATGGAATGCTCAGAGAAGCCAACGAATGGCTTGCAGTGGAGGGCAGACAGGCTGCCAGTGGAGAGCAGACATTGCCCCATGTAAAGGTCCTCTGTTAATAAATCACTTGTTTCCAGGCTACCAGAGCCCTGTTCTTTCTTTTGGCAAAAACACATTGACACAACTGCACCAGCAAATCTGCCATGTTTGCTGTGGTTCCGAATACAAAGAGCTCCTCTCCCAACTGCACAGCTCAGCCAGGTATTGGGTCCTGTGCTACGGTGTGTATTGCAGAAGGCAATGCCATGGCACAAGGAAACAAGGAATCTGCTGCTGTGCTGTTACCAGGTGAGACTGGCAGGACAAGCACACCAGACTGAGGCTGTGTTGGTGAGGGGCAGAGTTACTCAAAGCCAGAACCAGGAACTTTTGAGCTGCTGGTTTGTAGGATTGAGGCACTCTCAGCCAGTTTGCTGACAACACTGAGCTGTGTGGTGTGGTTACACACTGGAAAGGAAGGATGGATCCAGAGGGACCTGGACAGGCTGGAGAGGTGAGACCATGTGAAAAGTACAAGGTTTTACACCTGGGTTAGAACATTCTCAGGCACAGCTGAAGAAGGGGCAGAGAAGGGATTGAGAGCAGTCCTGGGAGAAGGGCTTGGGGGTGATGGCTAACAAAAAACTCATGAAAAACCATGAGCCAGCAGTGAGCAGCCCACTGTGTCCTGGGCTGTACCCAAAGGAACATGGGCAGCAGGTGAGGGAGGGGATTTTCCCTCACCACTCTGCACTCCCAAGATCCTGCCTAGAGTCCTGCACACAGTTCTGGGGGCCCCAGCATAAGAAGGACATGGAACTGTTGGAGCAAGTCCAGAAGATGCCATGAAGTCGATAAGAGGACTGGAGCATCTCCCCTGTGAAGAAAGGCTGAGAGAGTTGGGGCTTTTCAGTCTGTTTAGCCTGGGGAAGGTTGTATGGACACCTCAGAGCACATTTCAGTATCTGAAAGGGCCTACAAGGGAGCCAGAGAGGGATTCTATCAAGAACTGGTATGACAGGATACAGAGTAATGTATTCAGGCTGACATAGGACAGAAGGGATATTGGGAAGAAATTCTTTCTTGTGAGAGTGATAAAACACTGGCACAGGTTGCGCAGAGAAGCTGTGGCTGCCCCATCCATGGAAGTGTTTCAAGGTCAGGCTTGGAGGAACCTGGTCTAGTGGAAGGAGTCCTTGCTCGTGGCAGGGGTTGGAACTGGAAGGTCTATAAGGCACCCAAATTGGCTTATTTAAAACCCAAAGGAGGGAGGAACCACAGCACCACAGAGCTGGGCTGTACAGTGGCCATGGGACTGTACTGTCCCCATCTTCTCAGGGGAGAGGAGCAGCAAAACCTGGAGGGTAGAAAGGTGAATCCAGGGCGGCCAGCATGGAGAGGTGTTGGAATCCTAGATGCTGAGAATTTTAAACTTTCTGTGCTTAAAGGCACAGAGCCACAAGAGAATACTGCAATTGACCTGAGGCTGTGGAGAAGACTTCCAAAATTGATTGATAGCACTGGGAATATGGGTGTGTAGTTGGTTAGAAGTGTGTAATATCAAAGGGTGGAAAATTAGAGAGTTTGGGGTCTTAGACTATAGAAATAAATATGAACCAAGATGGAGGTTTTAGGGCCGAAGCAGGTTGCTCTTCTTTACCTTCTACTTCCTTGTTCTTCATGGGTTTGGGTGATGTTTTGTAATTGAACAGAAAAGTCCGCATTGCAGGCTTTGAGGGATCAGTTATTGGGTTAAAAGGGAAAATAAACTAGGTGTCATTTCTTAATTGGATAGTTTAGTCTTAAAAAACCTTGTAACAAGAGATAGCCATCTTTGTGCCTTGCTAATAAAAGGCTGCACAACTCATGGTTGTGAGGCTGTTTTACTGATAAGAAATAATAAACACCTGAGTCCCAGCATGAACTACCTCCTCAAGTGCCTTCCATCCCAACCTCGAGAAACTGATGGAGAGGGGTTTAGACATCAACAATACCATTCTTTTATTGAATAATCAGACAGGAACATGAACCATTTTCACCTTTGTGAGTTGACTCCCCAGTGAAGCTCCCTCCCCAGCATCCAACACCTGGATGTTTGGGCTGTTTCCTTAAGCAAGAGGTGCTGAATTTGCTCAGTCACACGAGGATATGGCAGGCACCAGCCTGGAGCTGGCTCAGGGATCCCAGGGCCATGGTGCAGACACATAGTAACAAGGAACAGCCAGACTGTCTTCTCCGAGACACATAGATGTCACTTCTGGGCCAGCTGTCTGTACAAGTTCAGAGTCAGAAGCATAACTTCAGGATCTCCACTTTTTATGTCAAGAGCTTGCAGGAAGCAGTCCAAAGCCTCCTGGAGTTTTCCATCATTCTGAAGTTTCTTCCCACTGTGTACTAAAGTGTCATAATCTGCAGCAGGAGAGGAACTCTGCCCAATGTCCTTTTCAGAGCTGCTTTCTTGGGTAAAGTACTCAATCTGCTCACCTGACTGGAGCTCAGTGTCACCTGTGGATTCCTCCTGAGATGACTCCATCTCCTCTGCCTCGGACTGCTCAGATTCCATGCTGTCTGTGTGGGAGGACTCTTCACCTGTATCAAGTGTTTCTCCACTAGGTTCTTCTTCAGGCTCAGCAGATTCTCCAGTGCACTCCTCAGCTTCGTCTTCCACAAGCCCATCTTGCTCCTCATCACCATCATCATCATCATCTTCTTCACCAGTGGTTCCCATAATTTCCCCAATATCCTCTACCTCATCTACCAACCTGCTGATGAATGAGCGCCTGGAAGCATTGGACCTGTTCCCACTGTTATTTAGTTGGGGAGAAAAGATGGCTTTAGCACTTGTTGTGTCATATTTAGGGGTGGAAGCACTAATTCCTTCCAGAAGTCCATGCCGAGTGCTGTCCAAGGGAGAGGAGGGCACTTGTTCAGGTTGCTCTTCACTCTCACTGTCTGAAGCAATTCTGTTTAAGTGTTTCTTCCTACCAAAAGTAAAGAGACCACTGCTTTCCTCCAATGATTTACTCCCTTGCAGGGAGGCATTTGGCTCTTCCTCAGCTGTGGGACAGGGTTTGCCATGGCTACTGGTCTCACTTGGCCAAGTTTTGTTTGGAGATTCTTTGTCTGGAGATTTACACAAGCTTTCTGCCTGGAGCTGTAAGCTCTCCTTCTCAGGAGATCCTTCCACTGATCCTCCTCTATTTGAGGCATCCTGCCATCCCTCTTCAGACTCTTCCAAAACCAGGTTGAAGTCAACTTGATCCTGGAAGGAAGGAGCAGATGTACCCTCCAAGCTGTCTTCCAACACGTGAGACTTGTAGAGCTCAGCATTGATTTCTGGCATAGTATTTGATAAACTCAGCACTGCAGAAGCAGAAGCCAGCTCAGGAACATTGTTCTGCTCTGTCCCCAGGGCAGTGTGTGGGTCAAGTACCTGAACTGACAATTCTGCCTCACTTCTAGGATCGTCAGCCATGCCAGACTCAGAGGAATTGTGACAATGCCAAGACAGGTCATTCCTTGTCTTGGCCAAGCTCTCTGAATGTACCTGCGAATGCTGTTTCTCTTGAAGGCTCTGACTCTCCTTCTTGAGTGCAGGGGATGATGGTGCAATACTAGAGTCAGGATTTTGCTCAGATTCTTGTATATCAGATTGTTCTGCTGTCTTGCTGGTATTGAGCACTTCCATCTCCATACTGGACACACCTTGTGCCAGTTGCTCTTCATCCAAGTCACCAACAGTCAGAGTTGTCATTCTGGAGCTGACATCGAGCATCTGGGCCTCTTCATCCTCTGTAAGATCAACAACTTTGTCTTTTTCATGGGCATCAGCTACTGGCGGTAAAATGAAGTTATTTTTGTCATTTAACCCTGGAGATAACTTCTTTGGCCTGGAAACTGATCCCGATGGTCTTTGCCAGCTCTCTTCACAAGCATTTCTGATGCCCTCCATCCTCTGATCTCCGAGCTGGGACTCCAGCTGGACCAGCTCATGGGCTTTCTGTACCCTCCGCTGGATGTACTGATGGGCTTCCTCGCTCTCCACCTGCTCCTCGTGAGCCATCTCCCTTGTGTACATCAGATCGTGGTCAGAAATGCCAAACATTGCCAGGGAATGCAGGTAAGCAAGGTGCTCATCCAGCTGCAGGTCAGACTTCCTTTGCATGGCGTGCAAGGACTGCAGCTGGATCTGAGTTGCAGACGTCTGAGTATCTTCCAACGTGAAGAGCTCCCTTAGCTCCTGTTTGGAGAAATAACGGAACGGGTTCTTTTTGTCACCAGTGGTCTGTCTGATTAACGAGTCCTTGAATACCTGCCGCCTGTATATCTTCTCTTCCACAGTGCCACAGGTGATCAATCTGTAAATCACTACATTCTCTTTTTGCCCAATTCTATAAGCTCTGTCCACAGCCTGAGCATCGGTTGCTGGATTCCAGCTGGGATCAAAGATCACCACTCGGCTGGCTGCTGTCAAGGTTATGCCGACACCCCCAACCTGTGTGGTGAGCAGGAAGACAGAGTAGTCAGTGCTGCTCTGGAAGGCATTGATGCGCCTCTCCCGCTCCATCAGGTGGGTCACTGTGCCATCAATGCGCAGGATCTGGAATTGTCGGCGAGACAGGACGAGCTCTATGATATCCAGCATCTTCCTCGACTGTGAGAACACCAGGGTTCGGTGTCCCTCTTCTCTCAGCCGTTCCAGCAGTCCAACAAGGAACTGCATCTTCCCAGACTCCTGGATCACAGTCTCATCAGAGAGATGATCTGTTTTGTTCATGCCTAAAAACATACCTGCTTCCATCGTGTAATCCTGCTCGGAGCCCACCTGCTCTTCCAAGCCCAGCTGGATACAGGCTCTTGCAGACAGAAGCCTGGGGTGGTCACAGATTTTCTTCAGGACTGTCAGCTCAGCCAAAGGTGATCGAGTCGTCATCAGTACTTCCTTCACATGATCCAGGCAGAGAAAGTTCCTGTAGATTTCTTCCTGCACCGGTGCCAGGTACACCCACACAACAAAGTCATTTTTCCTAGTGAGAGATGGCATGACAGGAGCCTTGTTCTCACTTGGATCCTCAGGAAGAGAAGCATCAGCTTTATCAGCA